ACCGAAAAGTATGAAAAAATCCATTATTAGTGTAGTATATTATTATATCCCATGTAATTAGTATATTAGTATATCGCTATTAACCTACTTCGCGTTGAATTTTCATCGATGTTAAGCCTAACAAAAATTTTTTAAAATAATAATCGTCGCTATTGTATCGTTAAAAATTAGAAAATTAAGCCTCGTTTAAATACTGGCTCCCTTTCATGGTCGAATGAGTGTTGACAGCTAAACCACGTAAAAATAATATTAAAGTAGCCAAGACATAGCCAAATATTGTACCGCCACATCAATAGCGGACATTTGAAATTTGCCAACTAGGACGGTCGGTTAACCGAGGTGTCGGTTAATCAGGGGTCGGATAATCGAGGCTCTACTGTACATAGAATCTATGTACAGTAGAGCCTCGATTGAAGAGCCTGTAGCAAAAATACCGATTGAATAGAGAAATTAATATTAAATCATTTATTTTATTCAGATGTATAATACAAATACGATTCGACAATAAAAATTATAAATCAAAATGCCTTACCAGAACCGTTAATTTTGTTGCAATATTCATCGTTCCAAAAGGGGAGATTCCTGCGAATAAAAAAAAAAATTCATAATATTAATTGTAATTTTTTTTAATGTTATTCAAGATTTTTATTTCTAAATTAAATTGACATTATTTCTTACTTGTAATTATTCCAAGAAACGATGTTTGAATAATCTTTAATGTCGTCTCTCCCCGTTGCAATTGTAAAATTTTCAGAGTAAGTATTATTTTTCTAAAATTAATATAAAAAAAAATTAAAAAAATATCATCTAAAATAAAAGCCAACATAAAATTAAATATTTAATAATAATTGGTTGACGTCTAATTAAGAGGGCCCCTTTTTTAAGGTCTGGGGAGTGGTACATAAGTTACCATTAAAAAGAATTTAGTGTGTTTGAGATGCTGTATATTAATAATAATAATAAATTTACCCCATAATACAATCCAAAAGTATTATTAGGAAGCACATCTGGTACTTCATCTTCTCCGAGAAAACTTCGAGCTAAATCAAGTAGGTCGCCCACAGCCTCAACTTTAAAACCACCAAATAACAATTCATCAATACTTTTATAAAGGAATACAGTCTCTTTATAATCTTCTAATGTTGAGTCAATTATAGTGAAGGCGATATCTTTCATATCTTCGGGACATTTCAAATCCGCAATCTTGTCAACTGCCTGTTTAAAATAAATTAATTAATTATTTAAATTGTAATTCACGATAAATTTTATTATGAAATACAAACTCACTACTACAGGAAGATTAATTAAATATATTTTTTCATTCTGATCACCACTCGAAAGTTCTTTATGAAAGACGTAACTGGTTTTTTCTCTATAAGTGATTGTATCTTCAGTTTGAAAGACAATTTCTTTCTTGATAAATTTTCTAAAAAAAAAAATAGAAAAATTACAAATCATTGAAAATTTTAATAGGGAAATAAAATATTAAAATTATTTACTGAAAAGTATAAGGCCCAACTTCTTGAAGTTTCGGTTTTGCATTTTTTTCTTCTACTTCTTTGTAATTTGTCACATTAAAAAAGTAAAATTTATCATACATAATAGGTGATAATCCTGTCCATGGTTCTATATAAGAACTTCCTTTATTATTATTCATTTTCTATAAATAATATAAAATAATTAAAACAATAATTAAACATTTAATGTAGGTTACAGTTGTAAAAATTTATTGAATTTATTTACGATTTGATTTCTACTTTATACAATATGAACCAAGATATTATATAAGATCTTACCTTAAGAGCGTAACGTGAAAAAGATGAATTGAGTGTACAATACAACAGATTGCTTCAAGGGAATTTTTTTACTATGCTCCCAGTTCGAAGTTTGAAACATCGTTTGAACTCCGAAGTAAATTTTTTGTCAAATTTAACGTTCGAAGTACGAGATACTACTGTATTTAATTTGTATTTTCATCTTATGTTTTTTTAACAAAGGTTTTAGATGACCTAAGTGTGAATTTAATTGTGTGTGCTGTTCCTATGACCATCTGAGATATGTTTTTGTAGTATGGTTCATGGGTATGTAGTAGTTTTTTTGTATTTATGATCTGATCTTGTATGGCAATCAGGAGCTTTTCCGTCTCTCTATAAAGACATCCATGAGCCAGTCAGCCGTTTGACTCAGTTATGTCAACGTGATCCTGGCTGAACTCGTTAGGTTGACTACCATGGAGCAGCTTTAGAGCCCAAGACTATCTGATTATTTATGAAAACTGTTACTGAGTTTGGATGTTTGTTCTCATTTATATAATAGTTTAATAAGTTTATTGTATTATTGTAACATTTAATGAAGAGGGACTAAAACCCGAAATGCATTTACATTAAGAATGGTAATAAAATATATTAGATGATATTCTCCTCCGCATATTTCTTGTCAGTCAGAAAGAATGTGGGTTTTAAAAAATACGTTTTTTAGTTTTTTAAATTTACGATGTATTTCTGGATTAATCAATGTTATAACCCGAATGTTATCTGTTCAATCATACAACAAATCGAACTAGAGAACAGATAATAGTGGCTATAAGGAAAATTTCTCATTATGAAATTTTTTTCTATTCAAATAAAAAAAGTTTTATTATTTACTACCTCAGTAAATTTAATTAAATTGCATACAGTAGTGATAATAAGAGACAACGTAAAGAATAATTTTAAAAATTAGGCAATAAACATATAAAAACAAACTTCAATGTTGATCAATATTGAAAACAGGAAACCGACTGAACGTGGCCTACTGACTTATTTCACTTAGGTAATGATCATAAATCACGAGCATATAATATTATGCCTATATATGTTTTCACTAACTATAAACTTTGGGCATATTAAATCGAAAATGTTACATTGTCAGGTCAGTGTATCACGAATAAAAACGATATATCAAATTGTTATACTAAACTATAAGTTATATATTAAATTATAATTTATTTATTAACGAATTATACTTTATTTTCTAGTGTTACTGATCAAACTTTGCTCAAATTATTGATACCTTTTGTGAGTACAGTGGAATCCCGATTATCCAAGACAATTTAAAAGGAAAAAAGAAAAATGTCTACCGTTGTACAGTACATACTATAAAATATACACAGAGACCAAACTCTACATGTAACTAGAAATCACCACGTCATCTGTCGATCGTAGCGTGGCGAAACTAGGTCATACATATGTAACATTAAGTTAAATTTGATTAAATTAATTTTATCTTCAGCAGTATCAAATGCTGTAATGAAATTGCTGAAGAAAGTTTAAATGCTCTTTTGTACTGAAAAGATCCGTGGTTCCACGTTAGGATAATCGAGTTTCCATAGTATTTGTTTTGTTTGCTTCTGCAAAATGTTCTTCGTAACTGTTTTAAAGACAAATTATTATCTAATTTATAACACGAATAGAATTTTGTTTGTAGTTTTTATTGATTTGTTTTATGCTTTGTATATTTTTTTTTCAAAAAAATATTTATATTAATGTCAGCAAATATTTTGTCGAATCACGCATCGCGCTTATCATGCACACGATACTTTTTCATTTCATCAGCTTTCGATCATCGATGTAAATGCATTTATTTACAAAAAATATAAAATCAATTCGTCGTGCATCTTATCGAATGATTTTTCTAAGAAAACTTGAAATATTAAAGTATTATTTCTATTAAATTTGTATGTTAGAAACAATCAAATTCATTAACTCAGTTAAATTATTCATTCGATTTTAATTCAATATTCGAAGTTAAAATTAGGCATAATAAAAATTCATATGAAAAATTTAAATAGTTTTATAAATATAGTCGTATTCAGGTTTAAAATATTTCGTAGAATTGACAAGATAATTTACTTATACATTGAAACGTCATTACTTTCGATATCGTAGTCAAAAAATTTGAGAAACAACCTCACTTAAAACTAAATAAAATAGAATTTTCAATTTATATAGGTTTAAATATTAATTATAATATTTAAATGTTTTCTTTTAGGAATGTAAGTTTGCAATATTAAACTTCTAATTAAATTTAGAGTGGCACAGAGATCGAAAGGCCCTGGCTATTTACCTTTTTGAGGTAAATAGCCAGGCTATATATATATATATTTTTTTAAATAATAACAGCAACAGCATTTAACGACGTAATTATATTATATTTTTCAAATTATATTAAGTTTTTCTTAATACTAAAAGATATAATGGAATGAATAGAAGCCTGGAAACTACAGTAGCATTCTCTAAAGCTTAATACTTGTAAGGATGAGAATGATTCGAATATATTATTTAAATTTTGCTTATTTTAAAATTGAAATAATTATTATTTATAAATTATATTATATATAGAATAATAAAAAAAATGGAGAGTAAATTAATTAATTAAGTAGTTAAAGGAAAAGAAATAAAATTGTTATAAAATCAGCTACTTACACTTGCTATGAAATTTTTCTTAACATCTGAATAAAAGAAATATACACCGAATCCAAAAGATATTAAACAAAATCCAAATATTCCTAAAATTATAATAAAAGTGCACGCTTTACAATTTGGTATCATCTTTAAAACACTTGATATGTCTACCTACTGAATTCCAGTTGTTGTAATGAAATTATCAGCGCACTATTTGATCAGGTGTATATTATAATCAGCTGTAATAACACTATTATAAGAAATACTGATTCTAGGTCACTTCCAGAAATATATATATATTTTTTTAATTTAATATAAATTTTAAAATCATTCTAAATTCGTGCGATCTTTACTATTAATAATTTATTTCATATATAAATGTATTATATATCGCGATATGCATATCAAGTGCGGAGTATCGATCTAATGTTTACTGGATATCCTTTAAAATAGCACGATATTATAATAAACCTATCGTTTTTTTTTTTTTTAATAATAATATTGATTTGATGTTGTTTCACATTTTATTGTTAGTCGATATTTCTTTTTTTCACGCAATTTTTCCATTACTTATCTTTAATTGCTTAAAATTTAGATTTAATTGCTCTAAATTTTTTAATAGAAATTGAAATTTTAAACTATTTTAATTCTATTATTATAATGTAAGAAATATACTCTATGGTCAGTTGCATAGAGAGGATGTTGGCTAGTTTAATCCCTGTCTTAGGTAACAAATGATCGAACGTATTAATATTTTTATGATTTTTTTTTCTTTATTAATCAATGAAGTTACATACAATTCAGAAAAATTAATTTTTTGTAATTTTTCTACGTCACCAGGTTAGAGTAATAATTAATATTTGAAGCAAACTGAGAGATGGGAGTAAGAGAAAGATCGTAAGAGGCAGCGCATCACTTAATAAATATAAATTCAGTGATGTGTTACTTTCTTACTTCTCTTGGATCTCTTCAAAATTATATCAAAATGATTTTCCCTTTGTTTTACTTTTTCTTTATTTTTCAGTGTTTTAAATGACATTGATGTATTATATTTGAACATACACGACTGCTTGTAGGCTTAATATACAGTAAGCTTTACTATTTGAGTATGAAAACATGCCTACATTGGGAATAAAATATTTTATTAGAATATAGTATTTGTCTTTAACTGTTTATATGGGATCGCTAAGAAATATTCTGCAAAATTAATAAAAATTTCCTGAAAATTCAAAAGGCAAATAATAATAAACAAAAATACTGTTTACACGATTGATGTATTTGATGTTTCTGTAGTGCATTAAATACTTCTCACGACTTTATGTCGCCACTTTTTGCTGGAACTGTACAGTTTACAAATGCTTTTGTCTCACTGCTCACATTAAAAACATTTCCGCATTTGACTAAGGTATATAAAGGCAATCAGCTGAGAATACGATTAACTTTTATGAAAACGTTTTAATTTTTTTTAAATTTCTGGAATATAATAATTGAAATGAATTTCTATCGGAAAGAATCAATTAAATCTGTCGATTCAAAAAGGCCGATGTCCGGAGAACCTGTTAAACATAAGTTTAAAAGTTATTTCGGTACTGATATCAATTTTTTTTTATTGATATTGTATGGTACCACTCGACTTCTTCTTTAAGCTGTTTTCTTAGCGAACCAATGTGTTAGAGGTGAGAAATCCAGTTCTGAGGAAACAATTCAACAACGAGCTAAGCAGTTCTGATCCAGACAGTTCCGAGGAGAAGTTCCTTAGAACTATTCCTCTGAACTGTCTGGAATATCTAGCAGAGCTCACAGCCAATTATTTTGAAAAGAGCTGATATCACAGCCAAAAAAGCTTACATTTTCCAAAAAAAAAGAACCGACAGCCAAAATTCTAATCGAAATATAGTAGTTTCTACAAATTTGATGGAATTCTCTAGTGCAAGGTGTCAGAAATGGTAAAATAAATTAAGTATGATATAAGATTATTTTATCACATCCGTTTTGTACTGTGGATCATTTTGCACTCGTTATATTAATTTAACACAGGATAGTGTAAAACAGCGATTCCCTAAATATAGAATTGAGATCCCCAAATGGAGGATGACAAATTCTTCTTATGTCGTTACGTAAGCACCTTTTTATAAACATTATTCCTTTGCTTACAAAAAATCGTAAAAAGTGTCGTGTATATTTTTTTCTTTTGAATTCTCGAAGATGTATTTTCTTTGGATGTCAAACATCAAAGAAAAAGTATATAACCTACAACACTCCATTGAAGAATATTGACAATCAACAGCAACAAGAGAAAAGAAGGATTAATGGATTTGTACATATAAAAAGAAAAATTATTCAAAAAGCAATAACTATAAGAAAACGGAAATTGGAATCATCAGAAAAAATGCTGACAAATGCCAAACAGAGTGGACATGCCGACAGAAGCCCACACCAAAGACGATTGAGAGTTTAGGAATAGAATCAACAAATAGAAACAAATAGTTCCTTTTTATACAGAAACGAAACAACGGAAGTGAAACAGGAAATTACATTACTCTCAAGAATATAGTAATAAATAAAATGTTTTGATTGTTTTCATTTTATACAATATATATATATGTTACCGCTAAAGCTCGAAATCCGTTAATGTGTACATTACCTAGCTAATCTGCAGATTAACTAGGGTGATCCGTTAAAGCTGCGAAAATTGTTCAATTTCTCAAATTACCTAGGTAATTTGCAGAGTATCTAGGTAATCTGCACATTAACGGCTTCCGTATCGTTAAAGTTCAAAAGTTTGTTTCTTTCACTTCCTTTCCCCACTCCTTCTTTTTACGTAGATAAATTTAAATCCTAGAATGCAAGCAAGCACCGAATTGGTGAGTAAAATCAAGAAAAGATTCTTCGCAAACCTCTTTAGCGAAGATTTAAAATATAATACGTAGTGTTTTAATAACAAACCAAAGTATGATTCCATAATTGAAGATGTAAAGCAAATAAAAGTTTCCAAGAAGAAAGAATCATCTCGAGATTATCAAATAATTCAAAGGTGTGATGTGTTGACTGTACGAGGCTGTGAAAAACTCATTGAGCCGTTGTCAGATGCGCGAGAAAGGTTTGAAAAAGTTTGTCCATGCCGGAGAATTGTTTGACATTCGATAAAAACTGAAGAAGACCTTGAAAAATTAGAAGATTCACAAGAGACTGTGATTATGAGATCACAGTCAAATCTTACTCAAGAGGACATTCCGTTATCCCCCGCTTCTACAGAATCACCTATAGAAATACAAGAATTTACCGATAGTAATCTTAAACTGCCTTCTATACCGTTGATTGATGATGCAGTCACGAAGAATATTCAGTTACCCTGCACCTCCAAGGAATCGCCTCTGCAAGTTGAAGAAGTCATCACTGAGTTACTCTCAACTTCAGCAGAATCGCCATCACAGTTTCGTACGGAGCCTGTAAAGAGCACTATACAAGACATAGTCTGTATTGTTTGCTCAAAAGCAGCATCAAGTGCTCACAAGTGTAAATCGTGTAATATGTTTGTTCACGCAGTTTGTGGTGAAGTAGATCCTAAAGAGGAAGGGTATGGTAAGAATGTATTGTGCATCATCTGTAAAAAGAATATGGATCAGAAAATACAGCGTGATGAAGCCAAGAAATGTTTAGAAAAGCAAGCAAAGAAAATGTTAGCAGTTTCTAATGCAAAGCACCCAAACGTCGATGAAGGTTTCGCTGTGAGAATTAAAGTACCCGAAGAAGACAGAGCAAAAACTGATGCACGTTCAATTTTAGCTGTGGTTCTTAGTAAAACAGAGGATGGCTTTTATAAACTTGATACTAAAACAGGTATTTTAAAACAATTGTATGCAAAATCTGAATTCAGTGTTTGCAAAGAGAGATTTTTAACGAAAGAAGATGGATGTCCCTGCTGTAGAAATATCTTTACGTCAAACAGCAATAAAACAATCCCTTGGTACTGGGCAGGGTTTCAGAAAATGTGACTGCAAATCTAAATGTACCACAAATAGGCGTGCTTGTCGCAAAAACCAATTGCTACGTAATTCAAAGTGTCACCAATCTTTAGATTGCACTAATAAGTAAGTACAATTTTATCATATGTTTTGCAAATTCATTTCCCTAATTGTAGTAATATTTTAAACCGTTTGATTTTTGTATTAAAGTTTTTTTAATTGATTGATGATTGATTCAATCAACTAATTTGTTGATTGTATTAACTTGATTCTTTAGATATTGAAAATTAAATAAATAACATTATGTTAATTTAAGCGTACAGAAACGTTGCTGTTGTTCCAGCAAAAATCTTATTTTCACTTTACCGAGTGCCTAGTAGGTAATTTGCAGATTACCTAGATAATCTGAACATTACCTAGGTAATTTGAGAAATGGAATAATTTTCGCAGCTTTAACGGATCACCATAGTTAATCTGCAGATTAGCTAGGTAATGCGCACATTAACGGATTTCGAGCTTTAGCGGTAACATATATATATATATATGTGCCATAATTCTATATGGTAAATCTATACATGTTTATATACAGTCAAACTTCGGTTTTTGAACTTAATTTGTTCCTAAAAGTTGTTCGAAAACCGAAATAAATTTTTCCATAAGAAACAATATGAAATGAACTAATCGGTTTCTCATCAGAAAATAAAGCCTTTTTTTTTAACCATTTAGCTGTATTTCATCCATAAAAATGACTATAAATGCAATGTAATATCGTATATAATATATGTAATACTATATCATATATAATAAATTTTTGTTCTGTAATTTGAATTAAACACGAATTCTTGGATGCCATTTATATTGCATGAATTCAATTAAAGCGGTTTTTATTAATTTTGTTTAAATTTAACTGCGGCACGAAGCGAAAACGGAAGTAATATCTTACCGGCATTCGCATTAAAATCTAATTTGAATAACAACGCTATTGATGGTTCGTGTCGTGCAATTATACTACGTAGAGTGGCTGTGATTATGGTGGCAACGTCGTGTACTATCACTTTTACACAACAAGCTAGAATATTCTAACTCGTTGCCTTTACATAACACAAATGCTACTCTCCTTGACTAAAAACAAAATGGCGGACGTGTATTCAATTTTCCTCAAACATGACGCCGTTTC